AACATGTTGTTTGTCTACAATAAATAAGAAAACACAAATACTAGACAAACAACATTAGTTGTAAAGTATTTATTAAACATCATCAAAACAAGAACTCCAACACTAACGTGGTATAAATTAGAACTTACGTGGTTAAAATTAGAACTAACTTATTATAAAATAGAACTAACTTTGTATAAATTAGAACTAACTTGGTATAAATTAGAACTAACGTGATATAAAATAGAACTAACTTAGTATAAATTAGAACTAACATGGTATAAATTAGAACTAACTTGGTATAAAATAGAACTAACGTGGTATAAATTAGAACAACGTGGTTAAAATTAGAACTAACTTGGTATAAATTAAAACTAATGTGGTTAAAATTAGGTCGAGACAGAAGGTGGGAGGGTGAGGAGATTCTTGACCGCCGAGAACTGTGATCGATGGTTGGATGCGATGCTGGAAATACTCGGCTAGGAATTGAGGGATCAAGGGTACACTCCAAGCATTGAAGAACTTGAGTGAGAGCTTCTCATTCTGGGATATTTATCCCCGCCCCCTTCCAGGGTAAATTATTCCTTATTTTTATTTCAGTAATCGTTGAGATTTTAGTCATGATTGTTCATTTTAGTTAATGTATCGGTTAATTTTATTCATGGAAGCAAAATGCTACACACGGACGGTGAAGGGAGAAAATGGTTTAGTGGCGCATTAATGTGGGTGACAAATTTGTACTACCCATCCCTTCTCTTCATGAAGAACAAAAACAGAGTGCTCGTGTACCTCCAGAATCTTCATCCAGTACAAATGCTAATCTTTGTTGCAGGTTTCTTTGTATTCGACAATAAGATAAAAGAACTAACTTAGTTAAAATTAGAACTAACTTATTATAAAATAGAACTAACTTGGTATAAATTAGAACTAACGTGGTATAAAATAGAACTAACGTGGTATAAATTAGAACTAACTTGGTATAAATTAGAACTAACATGGTATAAATTTAAATTAACTTGGTATAAAATAGAACTAACATGGTATAAATTAGAAGTAACTTGGTAAATTAGAACTAACATGGTATAAATTAGAACTAATGTGGTTAAAATTAGAACTAACTTGGTATAAAATAGAACTAATTTGGTATAAATTAGAACTAATATGGTTAAAATTAGAACTAACTTGTTATAAAATAGAACTAACTTGGTATAAATTAGAATTAACGTGGTATAAAATAGAACTAACGTGGTATAAATTAGAACTAACTTGATATAAATTAGAACTAACGTGGTATAAAATAGAACTAACATGGTATAAATTAGAACTAACTTGGTATAAATTAGAACTAACATGGTTAAAATTAGAACTAACTTGTTATAAAATAGAACTAACTTGGTATAAATTAGAACTAACTTTGTATAAAATAGAACTAACGTGGTATAAAATAAAACTAACTTTGTATAAATTAGAACTAACGTGGTATAAAATAGAACTAACGTGGTATAAATTAGAACTAACATGGTATAAATTAGAACTAACATGGTTAAAATTAGAACTAACTTGGTATAAATTAGAAGTAATATAGTTAAATTTGAACTAACTTGTTATAAAATATAACTAACTTGGTATAAATTAGAACTAACTTTGTATAAATTAAAACTAATGTAGTATAAAATAGAACTAACTTGGTATAAATTAGAACTAACGTGGTATAAAATAAAACTAACGTGGTATAAATTAGAACTAACTTGGTATAAATTAGAACTAACGTGGTATAAATTAGAACTAACTTGATATAAATTAGAACTAACGTGGTATAAATTAGAACTAACATGGTATAAATTAGAACTAACTTGGTATAAAATAGAACTAACGTGGTATAAATTAGAACTAACAAGTTTATTTATCAGTTAGCTATGCATATGAAATCCTCTACCTATATGCCAATAAAATGCACAATTTATTTATCAGCTAGGTGAAAATGTAACAACAATTTGCAAGGAAAAAGCACAACAAATTATGATTGCATGGTAGAAAAAAATCAGGTATAGAGTTTAAGTGATTAATAGTGCCATAGAATCAGAGATCCAGAGGAACAATTTACTAACAGTTATAGAGTATAAGATATAAAGTAATATAAGTGTAACAAATTTACATATGCATAAAATTATCAGGTATAATTAATGGGGAAAAGTTGGAGATAACTACAATAATCAGGTATAATTAATGGGGAAAAGTTGGAGATAACTACAATAATCTAAGATTCATATTACAATAGAATCAGCCACCAGAAGAAATACAGAAAAGTTGGAGATAACTACAATAATCTAAGATTCATATTACAATAGAATCAGCCACCAGAAGAAATACACAGCACAATTTACTAGCAGTCGTGGACTTATTTATGCTGTAAAATAGTGATAGCAGTAACTTTTTTTTTGGTCAATGAAAAAATTTTATTCATTTACCAAATATGAAAGTGTTATGTACATCATGATGCTCAACTTTTTTGGACAAGAGCTGAGAAACCAAAAGACACTGTAAACAGAAAACTAAGCCTCAATATGGCAAACAATCACTGTTAGCAAAGGTAGGATTATTGAGGATGGTGATTTGAATGTCGATTTTGATCTCCCTGACCAACTGATCAACAATTCTGCTCTTTTGCTGGAAAATCCTCATATTGCGCTCCCTCCATATATTAGATAGTAGTAGTAAGCACCATTCTTTTGAGTTTTTGTTTGCAACCTTTACCCCTCAACCTATCAGTGTACCATTTCAGGAGACAAGTCCAGTTGCAAGCTCTCCATTTAAATCCCAGGCAGTTCATGATGTTATTCCAGATTTCACACGAGAAACTGCATTCAAAGAACAGATGATTTCTGTTCTCACCACTTGAATTAGAACAAAAACAGCACAAGTTTAAATTTATAACCCCCCACTTTAGCAACCTGTCTTGTGTGAGGAGTCTGCCATGGATTGCTAGTCAGCTCATAAAAGAGTGTTTAGGGATGTTAAGATTCTCCCAAATTGTATTAGACCATGTTACACACTCTGTTGAAGAGGATAGAGCATTATAAAGTGCTGATAACTTCACTTTACCATTCATGTAACAAGCATTGATGAGGTTTTTCAAATTTTCAACACCTCCGCAAGTAATCATTGCTTTATTTCTAGTTTTTATCAACTGCTTCCACATCCAGGAGTCTCTAGGTTTAGTATTCACCTGCCAAATGTCCATGTTCTTTAAATAAGTACCATGGATCCATTTAACCATAGTGACTCTTTGTTAATGTGTATATTCCATATATAGCGCATGGCAGAAGCTATGTTCCAAGTAATGGCAGAGTAAATCCCTAAGCCACCTTTCTTCTTCTCTAGGCATATCCTCTTCCATGAAATGAGAGGAATCTTTAAAGCTTGGTCTGATTTCCCCCATAAGAAGTTCATACAGAGTTCATCAATTTTCTGCAACACACTGATGGGAAGAATGTAGCTCGACGTCCAAAAAGTTTGAATGCCAAGAATTACACTTTTGATGACTTGTATCCGACCAGCATAAGATAAGGTTTTGTGATTCTTCCATTTTTGAAATTAAGCAGTTATTTTAGTGAAGAGAGGATCACAATCTAAGAATGACAACCTTTTGGTAACGAGAGAAACTCCCAAATACCTTATAGGCATTACACCTTCAGAGAATCCCAATTGTCTTGGAAATGGAATTTTTCACTGAATCTTCAACTCCACCATAGTAAACTGAACATTTATTTGGGTTTGCTTCAAGACCTGAGGTGATGTTGAAATCCTGTAAACATGTATATAGCTTGATAGCAGTAACTTGTTATCTCTCCAAAATGCTGAGCGTGTTAGTTCTAACACTCGGCGTGTTAGTTCTAGTTTTAACGTCTTCTCGCTCACTTCCACGTCCTCGATCGCTCTAGAAATTCTCATATTTTTTTTATACATTAATAGTCAACGCGTACAAGAACCAGAATTTAATGAAAATGAGCCTGGATTCAATTAAAAAAGAAATCTTTTCTCAAGGAAAGAAAAGATTCGTCATTTCTCACAGGACTGACCTCTAAAAGATTGAAGATTTAGATCCCCGTTGCGATGACGAGTTCTTTTGGAGCGCTTAGATCTAGGTGAATGATTTAAGAGAAGGGAATCGATGAGATCGAGGTGGCCGAATTCAAAGTGGAGTCTTGGAGGCTGAACTTAAGGCTGAACTCAAGGGCGAGGTGGAGAGAGGCATCGACGAACTCCGGCGTAATCGAGGACAAGGCGGGGAGCGGCGACAAGCTACGGCGACGAGGTCGGGCGGAGGAGAGGAGGGGAGGCGGCGACGAACTCAGGGGAGGCTTGGGTGTCTGGGCGGAGGCGGCGACGGCGAGGAGGGCAAGGGCCAGGACGACGAGCTTGAGAAAGCTCTTAGTTTTAAAGAGAGAGGAGAGAGAGAGAGAGAGAGAGAGAGAGAGAGAACTGAGTTTGAGGGATTGAGGGGAGATGATAAGGATATTTTGAGGATTTTAGCTTAGCTGACATGTAATAGTTGCTAAAAAGGGACTGCAGCACAAAATGTCACACTTCAAGGGGCTGAACCACATGAGGGGAACTAGGAGGGGCTGCAGCACATGAAGTTTCTGTTTTTGGGGCCCAGACACATTTTTCCCTACCAACTATCCAGTAAATACAGAATATCATATAATTTTCAGGTGGAGAAGAGAGACGAAAGAGGGTATAGTTGGGATGATGATGGGAGAGGTTGGCTTTGTATGTAGAGATTTTATCGATTGAATGGATCTCACATGTGTGCACGAGGTTGAGTTGCTACCTACAGGGGCTCTTAACACGTGTGCCACGTTACAATCATAGGCGTGGGGGCTATGGAAACCCCCATTACCAATTAATTAAAAATAAATCAAAAAATGTTTAAAATAAATTGTGGGGGACTATTGATCGTAGCCCCTTCAAATAGAGCCCTTTGTACTTTAGTTTCTCGAACGACAACACTCAAAAATTCCCCCAACCCCCCCGCCTCCTCTCCTTTCTCTCTCTCTCTCTCTAAGATTCCTCATCGTATATATCCTAGCTACTTCAAAAGGCTCTCCCAAGTGCAACGAGCTGGGATCAAATCTTTAGCAAAGCACGAGCATGGAGAGAGCTCTATCAATCTCGCTCGCAATTCTCCTCATACCACTGACTTTAGTGACCCTCTCCAAAATATCAAAAATCAAAAGATGGTGGAGAACAAGGAGCAAGCTCCCTAGAGGCTCCTCCGGCTGGCCCTTCATCGGCGAAACCCTAGATTTCATCGCTTGCGCCTTCTCGCCGTGCCCCGAGAGCTTCATGAGCAAGCGCCGTCTCATGTGAGTACGACCCGTAATTAAATGTCTCCGAGTGTTCGTAAATTTTTTCAGTGTTTAAAATAAATTATCTCACGCGCGCGCGTGTCGCATGCGAATTGTTCTAGGCATGGGAAAGTGTTCAGATCACACCTATTTGGGAGCCCAACGATCGTGTCAATCGATGCAGAGTTCAGCAGAGCTGTGCTCCAAAGTGATGCCAAGGCTTTCGTGCCCTGGTATCCAAAATCTTTGACGGAATTGATGGGCAAATCATCGATTTTGCTTATCAACGGGAGCTTGCAGAAGAAGGTTCATGGGCTTATTGGAGCCTTCTTTAAGGCCCATCATCTAAAGGCCCAGATAACGTCAGACATGCAGAGCTACGTTCAGCAGTCAATGGCCAAGTGGGAAGACGGTCAGCTTGTTCATATCCAGGATGAGAGTAAACAAGTGAGCTTCGTTCTCTCTCTCTCTCTCTAGAAATTTCAACTTTTTTTTTATCAGTTGAAGTCTATTTCCTCTCTCTAGCCACACGTGCGAGTCTCTGGCACCACAGAGGGGCTATATGGGCAGAAATTAATGGGCCGCTTGAAATGTTGGGGATTGGTAGTTGTCGGCATTTATTTAAGCCTGTGGCATTTTTGAATGAACTTTGGTAATTTCAAGGGCTAAGCCCACACGTGAACCCTTTATTTAATTATTATTTTTTTTTCTCTCTCTCTCTGGGGGTACGGTGTGTCATTAGATTGTGTTCCAAATCTTGGTGAAAGTGCTGATTGGATTGGAGCCGGGAGAGGAGATGCACCTCCTCAAAGTCCAATTCCGAGAATTCATTGCTGGCCTCATGTCACTTCCCGTGAAGTTTCCCGGTAGCAGGCTCTACCGTTCTCTCAAGGTAAATAATACTCTACCCCCTAGCTTTTTTTTCATTTTTTTTTCAATTTATTTATTTTTAATCGGTTTTGACCTAAACCGGTTTAGTTCTCGTCTCGAAGAGCCTAAATAATAGATACAACTACAAGATTTCCATCTGCATGTATGCGCGTTGCGACGAGGATCATAAAAATCCATTTGCAAAACAAAAAACAAAAAAATACGTGGCTTACGTGCTGACCTAATTTTGTCACAGGCGAAGAAGAACATGGTGAAGCTCGTAGAAAAAATCATCAACGAGAAGAGAGAGAGAAATAACGGAAAATTTGCGCGGGACGTAATAGATGTATTAATCAACGACGCAAGCGGTCAGCTGACGGACGATCTCATATCCGATAACATGATAGACTTAATGATACCGGGTGAAGATTCGGTGCCAGTTCTCATCACCCTGGCAATCAAATACCTAAGTGATTGCCCTCTTGCTCTCCAACGCTTGGAGGTAATTAACTTGATTAGTGCATTTTTTTTTAAGCGTTGTTTGCTAGTAATTAAGTAGTGGGTTATATATAATCTTGTGGGCCTGATGTTGATTGCTTAATGAGTGATAATAAGTACGCAACGGATAATGTGTATGAGGTGATGTGAAACCAATGCACCAAACAAACGCCAATTTGGTTGATTCTACCCTTTGTTGGACTCACCGTCTTCTTCAGTACGTATCGTATTTTTTTTCGAGGTGATGATGCGGGATTACGAGGAGTTGCTTTCTCTGCCTTGGCTTTATTCTTTGAAAATTTTTAATAGGAGTACAAAATAGATCGTATTCGGAGAAAATTAAATTGACTAGACCTTTGCTATTGCTTGTTCTTATTTGGACACGTACGATTCAGTAGTTTCATGTATTCTAATCATATGATTATCGTGATGAGGGTATCTATTTTGAATTAATTTGGATCCGCACTAGCTAGATACTAAAAAAAATTAAAGAAATCATTACTTCTAATCCCAACAACTGATTGTCTAGTGGGATAATTGCATGTGATACATTCTGAATCCAACACTTAATGTCCAATTAACGTCATAACCATCCACTAAATATCTAATGGTTATTATTAAGCAGTGGTGTCTTCACTAAATTTCTAATAGCATAGAGGATCCGAATCCCTCTATTTAAACTAATTTTATAATTTCTTGTAGTGTGATTTGTTTTCTTTTAGTCTCTTTGTTGAAACTGGACGGAAAATTTTTTATCATGGATAATTCTCTCTCTTAATCAAATATCGTAGGAAAATCGTTTTCATAGGTTCAGATGGTTTTACGAGAGATAAGATAATTATAAAAAACATGTGACATTATAAACATGTGAGGAGTGGGGCCAGCAAATATTGACTTTTCGATTATGATCAGCAATAAGTCCCATCATATAGTCAATTCTTGCCCATATGACATTATTATTGCTATTATTATTGCCATAAATCTTGGCAATGCTAGTACCTAGCCCACACAGTGGAGGATGATGTCATCTCGAAAAGAGCTACCCTACTAATTGGGTTTGCATCCTCTCCTTGCCTTTTGACAACATCATCTTAAGGTACTTACATATTTGATAACACTGAGACGCCATTATGATTAATTTCTAATAAAACCAATAAATTGTCACCGATACCTACCATTTTATTCTTATTTTTGCCATACGTACGTCATAATCGTTTATTAAATTATAAGGTTACGATTGAGGAGAAAACCATACATTCAATTTTATCGTCATCTTATTATTAATTGTGCTTATATGATGCTGTCCCGTGTCAAATAATCCAGGAAGAGAACATGCAGTTGAAGAAGAAGAAATCGCAACTAGGGGAAAGCTTGGACTGGACAGATTACATGTCTTTATCATTCACACAGGACGTAAGATATGCTAACTACTACTATTTCCTTTAATAAGTAACAGGCAAGATGTTGGATCAGAAAATTTATTAACTAATATTATTTATTAATTTATTGGTAACAGGTGATAACGGAAACTCTAAGGCTAGGCAGCATTATAAGTGGCATCATGAGGACTGCGGTGAAGGATACGGAGGTAAAGGGGCACTTCATCCCCAAAGGATGGTGCGTGTTTATGTACATTAGATCGGTTCATCTTGATGAATCACACTACGACGATCCACACCAGTTCAACCCATGGAGATGGAAGGTAAATGAGGAACATATATAAACCTTTTTTTTAATCTTTATTTTACATGAAAAAAAATATCCATTAATTAATGATCCTGGTTCGTTTATACTAGTGGGGTGCAATAGATCAGGGCTGTGAGATACTTTCTCATGTTTTTTTTTTTTTTTTCTTTTTTTTGTAAAGCAGTGTCTTTGCATGTTAGTCAACTTCATATTTTTCTTTTTTTTTTTTTTTTTTTCTTTTTTTTGTAAAGCAGTGTCTTTGCATGTTAGTCAACTTCATATAGCTTTAGGCTATAGCTCAAGTTTATCATGATTGCAGCTCACTCTTTTTCCCCCCTTTCTTTTGCTCGCTTTGTTTCGAGGAACCCCACAGAACAAGGATCTGAGTACTTGTAGCTTTACCCCTTTTGGAGGTGGGCAAAGGCTGTGCCCTGGCCTTGATCTAGCCAGGCTGGAGGCTTCAGTTTTTCTCCATCACTTGGTCACAAACTTCACGTAAGTATAAACAATCTCAAAACTTTTACATTTACGCGAGCGCTTTACATGTTATATGAGGGCGGGAAGTAGCTCACGCTTCTGAACTATTGGCAAATATGTTCCTGACATCACATACATTCAGATTGTACAATTATGATTTAGATTTGTTAATGATCTGAATTCTTAACCATGTTTCAGTATATCTCACGCCACATCATCTTGATCAAATTAGTTCTTATATTAACACTTTATATACACCACGTGGGATCTTCAAGTTGAACAAGGCGTGACAGTGGGTGTCAAAATGGGTGCAATCCGTGCACGGAAGTGTTGTAGACCATATCCATGATACTCGACTGTTTAGGTTGACAGTGTACGTATACTTATATTCTTCCGTATACTGGGCCTCCACACGTGTGAGGTGAGTGAGTATACATTCTTCCGTATACTGGGCCTCCACACGTATGAGCATTAATGGATCTGCCTTCGCCCGTGTAGGCCAAGTCATTAGTCGGGTTGATGGACATTAGTACGGATGCTTTGACTTGAAGCACAGTTGGGAAGCGTCCACGTGAACACGGATGACGTGGCAGCTATTGATTGCCATGAAAATCTTTATTTAAGTTCATTTATTAGGAGCACCCATTTTGCACCCAAAGGGTGGTGGACCCACTAGAGGTAAATTAGCATCTTCAATCTAGATCCTGTGGTGATTTCCCAATATAAATATTTAAAAAATTTATCACAACTATAATAGGATCAATTCTTGTGTCAACTTAAGTGGATAGCAAAAAGCTATTCATCAAACTTTTTAGTCACTCATATTGCCTAGTATCCGTGCATGATATGAAATTTTTTTATATTAATAACATCAACTTAAGTTGATAGGAGCCTTACGGGAAAATTTACAAAATAGACCGTTTTTATAAAGTAATTAGCGAAATAGACCATTTTTAAAAGTAATTAGCAAAATAGACCTCTTTTTGGCCAATAGGTCAAAAGGAGGTCGATTTTCAAAAAAATGGCTTCAGAAAATATACGGGACTAGTAGTCCCGTATGTTTTCTGAAGCGATTTTTTCAAAATCGACCTCTTTTGTCAAAAAGAGGTCTATTTTGCTAATTACTCTCAAAAGTGGTCTATTTCGCTAATTACTTTATAAAAACGGTCTATTTTGCAACTTTTTCCGAGCCTTACTCACTATAATAGTTCATTTATATTATGAAATTTGCCAATGATATAAGATTCATACACTAGCTTAGATTAGAATCATATCCATTTTGTTGGTGAAAACTTCTGAGTAAACCATAAATTAGCCTTGTCCTTCATTTCTGCTCTCCATTTTGTTGGCAATTAACAGTAAATACAATGTGAATATAGTTGTATACCTGATGAAATACGAAACATTCGCACTTGTTTATGGTCTATTTCGGAAAAACACAGGTGGGTAGCCGAAAAAGATTACGTGGTCAACTTTCCGACTGTGAGGATGAAATACAGGATGCCCGTCAAGATCACGAGAAGAAGAGATGTATAAAAAATCCTGCAAAAAGCCTCCTCTCATCAATGAGTGTGATGGGACCAGCAACCAAGCACCTCGTCGTCCTTCGAAGCTTTAAAGGGGTACGCACGCACACGTGCGGGTCCAAGGACGTGGGCCCCACAAACCCTGCACATCGCAAAACGAAGAGCGTGGGGCCCAACGCAAGAGCTAGCCAGAGCTTCACACCTCCCGACGAGAGGAGGATTAAAGAGAGCTTTGGGGCCAGAGACTTTTTTGACCAAGACCAAGGTTTTGGGCTATACTTACGTAGCCCCCATTGGGAGGCGCACCTGTGTGGTTTTCGTAAGGGGGTTATATCGTGTGGAAGACCCACACGCACAACTGAGGGAGGAGTGGGAATTGGGAGGGTCCAAGCTTTTGCTTTTCTTTTGTTTCTCTCTCTTTTCTTTTTCTGGGATGGGTAATAGGTAGGATATAGAGGTTGATGATGTGAATATTGGAGGCAAATGTATATGTTGAGATGTATAGAATTATGAGCTTAATTATAAGGAGGTTTATTAAAAATTTACTAGCTTTTGCCATTGATCAATTATTATCTCCTATCTTCATCATGGAGTTAAAACTTATAAAAAGATGTTGCTGATGTATCAGGCATCTAGATTGCTATGCTCCCATTAATAGAGGCAAGTCGAAGCAATGATTAGATGGGGTAGAGAGCATCTACGTTCTTCGTCGTAGAGAATGTCTAGATCTCACTAATTAAATCTTTTCACTCGTTGCATCCCATAAATGATATGAATTATCTAAATAATATAAACATACTTTTCATTGTGGGACTCATTGGGATGAACCAATAGTCACTAGTAGAAAAACGAGCAACCTAGACGGAACAAACTAGACGGAATTATTTTCCGTCTAGTTTGAGTCAAACTAGACGGAACTAATTCCGTCTAGTTTGTTCCGTCTAGATTGAATCAAACTAGACGGAAATTTCCGTCTAGTTTGTCAATCTAGACGGAAAGGTCAACCTAGACGGAAATTCCGTCTAGGTTGCCTCAACCTAGACGGAAATTTCCGTCTAGGTTGAATGGTCAACCTAGACGGAATTTCCGTCTAGGTTGACTATTCAACCTAGACGGAAATTCCGTCTAGGTTGTGACAACCTAGACGGAAATTCCGTCTAGGTTGCCTAGGGCAATTTAATGCCCTAGTCAGCCCCCCCCCCCAAATCTCTCTCTTTCTCTTACTCTCCTCCCCCCCACTTCCCCCCTCCCGACCCCCCCTCCTCCGGCCCCTCCC